CTTTCACACTGTGTGAAATATATACCTTTTTGTAGCTCTGATTTTCCTGTGCCCTTGTCTGTCATTTCCAGTCTCTTTCTGTCTGCTTCTCTTCTGCTGTGTTGTCTGATAGGCTCCTGTCTCAGTTCCTCATGCTTATTTTCTCTTCCTCTTTGTTCCCATACTCACTTGTACTTGTCCCGTGCTCTGTATTTTTCTTGTTCTACTCAGTAACAGCACAGTCCACTTCACATTCCGTCACCAGAAGTGACTGGCTAAGACCTGGCTTCAGTTTTAGTCTGTTATATTAACTGCGAAAGCCACTCCACATCCCTGAGTCTTAGTCGTATAGGGAAGGTAACCTATCTCTTGTAAATAGAATTTGATGTAATAAAAGGAGTGCCAAGTAGTGATGGCTTCTTGAATACCTTAGAAATTTGTGATTTCATTATGTAGACTGTGCCTTCTGTAAAACTTAGTATCAAGTCAGAGTTGGTGCTCTGAGAAATGTAGGACAAGCAGTCCAGTGTTTCTTTTTTTTGTTTTAATTTTTAATGTTTTATTTATTTCTGAGAGAGAGATAGCATGAGCAAGGGAGAGTCAGAGAGAGGGAGACACAGAATCTGAAACAGGCTCCAGGCTCTGAGCTGGCATTCAGCACAGAGCCCAACATGGGACTTGAACCTACAAACCACGAGATCATAACCTGGGCCGAAGTCGGATGCTCAACCAGCTGAGCCACAGGTGTCCCACAGTCTAGTGTTTCTAAAAATTTCATGAGCTTTGGACTTTCTCCTCATTTCTATTTGGCTACACCCCATTCTTCCACAGATCAGACTCTGTATTCACCCTATATCCATCCTGTCTCCTGATCAGAAATTGAGAAGGTAAAGAAATACAGGTTGACACGATATACAAAAGACATTTTTTTTTTGGCACAGTGAAACTTTTTGACATAATGGTTAGTAAATAATGAGTATTTAGTATGTTTTCTGTTTTGGATGCCAGAGCCCAGTGGAAATTCTTACTGTATCTGAATTATTAATAGAAATGTAAAGAAACTTATTGAAGGTACTGGTTTATCCTTAGGTAGCATGTAAAATATGTATCCATTTTTAAAAGCATTTGCTGGGTGGCTCAATCAAGCATGTGCTTCTTGATTTCGGCTCAGGTCATGATCTCACAGTCATGAGATCAAGCCCTGCATGATCAGGGCTGTGCACTGAGCATGGGGCCTGCTTAAGATTCTCTCCCCCCCGTTCCCCCATCTTTCTGCTTCTTGGCATGAAAGCATGCACTGTTTTTCCAAAAAGAAAAAAATATATATTTATTAAACGTCTACCTCGATAAAACACTGAAGAGATAATATCTACATGACCTAAAATGGGATTAAACCTTGAATTTCAGATAACCTGGTTTTCCTTGAAAAATAACCATTATGGGCTGTATGTGTGTGTGTGTTACTAGGAAGATTAAGAAATTAAGGTTAGGGCCGACTGAAAATTTTTAATCTGTTAAAATCTGTTTTAAGTCATATTTATCAGTACTTTGATCGGTTAAAATTATTCCAGAAATCTCTAGATTAATCTTTTCTTCCTAGTACTCACAAACCTCAGGAAGTGTCCAGCAGTAGGAATCTGCAAGAGGTGATTTTCATCCTTGGCAGCTACTCTTGGGCAGCCGTGCTTGTGACCCACTTTTAAGGGGCTGGTAAGGAAGGAGTCATAGTATGTATATTGAAGGTTACATTTAAAAGGCCTCCCCGTATTCCATCACTCCATTGTTGTTTCCATGGAAGTGGAACCACTATCAGCAGCAGGAGTCCATTGCAACTGCTGGCTTCCGGTTTTGTTTCTCTGTTACTATGGAGACTGCCTCAAAAGCGGCAGAGGCCCCAAAAGTTTTAAGAAAACAATGATTTCATTACAAAATATGGTTTTAGCTTGAATTAGGTGCTCCACAGCCTTGGCATTTTTGAATTTCAAATTATTTTGGGAAACAAGTTGATTTTTTTTTTTTGAACAAAAGCAAATTTCAAAGTTGTATTACAGCTTGTGATCACATTGCATTAAATAAATCGCCATGGTTTCTATCGCAGGTTAGCCTATGATGAATCAGAAATTTTAAATGGGGGATCTCAGTTGAGGGCATGAAAGGTATAACCTGATAGGAGCACTGATGATAATGGCAGTAGCAGTGAAGAGTCCAGGAAAGGTAAACTCCAAACTGAAGGATGAGTAATGTGTAGAAATAGTAAATGTTTCTTATCTCTGTGGCACATTTTACCTTCACAACATGTTTCAATTACTTAGCTAACTTTCACAGATAGATTATATAAAAATAAAAGCTTGAGTTTAGAAATTAAATACATTTTAAGGACAGAGAAAAGGATCATATTGAAATTTTAATTTTAATTGAAGTTTGAGGAGTTGGAGAGTTAGTAAATGTAGACTGTTCCATAGTTAAAAAGCAGTAGAGATTCCCCCTCCCCTCCCACGTACCCCTTCCAGCCCCCAGGACTAGTTACATTTTTGAAGTACTCATAAAGGAGAGAAGAGATGGAATGGTCATGTAAAAGCTGTGAAAAGGAAGGTTTTTTAAGCAAAACTGCACCCCCAACTTTGTTGCCGGTTCCCTGTGAGGGCTCTATTCAGTCTGGATTCTTAGGTTTGCATGTGAGAAAATCCAGTAGGCAAAGAATGGCAGGAATGTAGGTTGGGCTGAAATCTGGACCCCAGTCACACCAGGATTCTTTTTTTTGTCTCTCATAACTGCTTCTCTCTGTTAAATTCCTTATCTCTGATTGGCTTTTAGCACATTGATAGAGAAGGTGGCTCTTGGCAGATCCCAGTTCCCTTATTTCCAGCCTCAGTAGCAAAGAGGGACTGATTGGCCCAGTTTGTGTTGGGCCAATTCCTTCCTTCCCCAACGCCAAGAGGGTGGGGTCCTGTGATTGGCCCAGCTTGTGACAGAGGGCTCACCCTTAACTGTATAGTAAATACGGGGCAGAATGACTGAGATCTGAAACACAATAGCAGTTTTCATTCAGACCACCCTGTTAAACGATGGTTGATGGTCGATGGTCGTGGTGGCTGAAGGTGGAGGGCTACTGAGAGGAGAAGGGAGCATTCCTCAGAAGAAATAGAAGATGCTATTCCAGGCAGAAATAAGGGCTTTCTCGTAGTCATTTTTTGGGGAAGAATGACTGCTTCATTATAATTCAGTTCAGTTCACTTCAGCAAAATAGGAACATAATTTTGTAGGACTTGGTTTAGAGAGAAACCAAGATCAAAAACCTTTACAATTTAGTGCTTCCTATATACAACTGCCTTTGTTGTAGTATCATTTATGTATATTGTCTCCTTTAATCTCTGCAGTCATTTGAAGTATATATTTCCATTTTAGAGAATGAGGAAGAGGTCAGAGACTTGAGATGATGTATTATCGGTCACATGACTAGTGAGAGGCGGAGCCAGAATGTAGATAACCAGGATTTCCAGAATGTAATCAAGGGTGCTTTCCACTGTATGATACTTGCTTTTTAGTTAACTTCATTCAGAAGATGCATAGGGTGAATTATATTAAAAAAAAAAAAAAAGTACTATGTATGAAGTGCTTAGATAAAAATGAGTCATGAAAATATAGAATGCTATTTATGAAAGAAGCCTTAGAGATTATATAGTACAGTGGTTTTCAAAAGTTTTAACTTTCAGTCATGAAATCCTGTCTTCAAATGAAGTGTATATAAAATGGGTAAGAGCATAGGATTGTCCTGTGCTAGAGAAGAGAGAGCCCCAGTACTTCCTGGGCTGGATGGACCACCTGGTTTTTGAAGTCATGAGTACTTTGGAGGCCATTTTGAATACAATTTGTTTAGAGAAACTGAGAGCCAGGCAGGGTAAATGAATTGCTCATTTTCACATACTTGTCTATTGCAGAGATTTCAATTACATTCTTCCTTTTTTTCTGTTTTTTAAAGCTTTTATTTTAATTCCAGCTAGTTAACATACATTTCAAGTAGAATCTTTCTTTTCAGTTGTAAGGTGGGTGACAGTTTGTTGTTAATGAAAAAACATGAAGCTTACAAAAATCAGAGTGAATTCAGAGTTACCCTTAAATGATTTTATTCTCCAGTTTGGTGCCACTTTGGCAGCGTATCATATCCATGTCATGGCTCTTATTAAACGTCTATCGCATTTAGTCCCAATTTGTTGAGTTAGGCAATAGCATAGTGCCTAGACTAGGCTAGTTTTCTGTCTGCAGGGCTTTTTATATTACATTTCTTCTAAAAATTTTTTTTTAAATGTTTTTATTTATTTTTGAGAGAAAGAGAGCGAGTGAGACAGGGGCAGCGACGGGGGGAGGGCACAGAATCTGAAGCAGGCTACAGACTCTGAGCTGTCAGCACAGAGCCCAATGCAGGGCTTGAACTCATGAACCATGAGGTCATGACCTGAGCCGAAGTCCAACGCTTAATCGACTGAGCCAGCCAGGCGCCCCTGTATTACATTTCTTGTATATCAGCTCCTCCTATAGAAGGTATCAGGTTCTCTCTATATATTTTAATAGAAAATTTTCAGAATTTGGATAAATCAAATTTGTGGTGATAGTATTGAGACCTTGCTGATACTAATAACTCGGATGTCTGTTCCAATTTTGAATTTCTCTTCTTCTTTATTAGAAATGTGAACAAGTAGCCTGGGGAGCCTGGGTGGCTCAGTCGGTTAAGCATCTGACTTCAGCTCAGGTCATGATCTCATACTTTGTAAGTTCAAGCCCCGTGTCAGGCTCTGGGCTAACAGCTCAGAGTGAGCCTCAATCCTGCTTCAGATTCTGTGTGTGTGTGTGTCTCTCTCTGCCCCTCCCCTGCTCGTGCTCTGTCTCTTTGTCTCTCAAAAATAAATAAACGTTAAAAAAAAAAAAGTGAACAAGTGGTGAACTGGGTAAAAGAAAGGTAATCTTCAGATTGGATAAATGCAAGTTTATTTTTCACATGTCCTGTCCTTATTTTCTACTTTCAGGAGAGTCAAGCCCTACCCGTCGAGAAGCTGTGAAGAGAAGAACAGCAGAATATCTCATGCGAGCAGAGAGTCTCTCTAGCCTTTATGGAAAACCTCAACTTGATGATGTATCTCAGGTATGTCTTATGTTTTGTATTTTGTTTTTCTATTTTTGCTGTCTTTCTCTTGGCTTTATTTATAATTAGAATGAGAACTTTGGTCTTTGGAATTTTATTAGTAATATTTAAACAAATTATTCCTGGGAAGAAAAGCATTAAAACGAATCACCAAAAGTGGAATAACGTGGGCTTGCTTTCTCCTCTTTCTCAGTCTTTTGTTCCTTACTCTACCCCTAAAACTCCATTTGTAAAATGATAGTAATTTGTACTGAATTTTATTTGAAATTTTTAGGGTTAAGGAATCGTTTTTGTGCAATCTCTGTACAGTTTTATTGATTCATGTTAAAACTAATTATGTAAGCAGAAGCCTTAAAAGTAGCTGCTATTAGATCACCTAGAATTATAAAGGCATAATTCTCACAGGGGTATTTAGGTTATTTGGGACTATCCTTAGTCTTGTCTAGAAAGCAGGTGAATGCTTAGAACATTGGAAACCTTGTGGTTTATTATTACTGTTTTTATGTCATCTAGATTTGGCAAATATGTAACTTTTCTGTTTTTTTTAATAAAAAATATTTATATATTTTTCCTTATATTCTTTATAAGTTTTTCTTTTTTTGGATACAATTTAAGAATCATATCTTCTAGAGACGAGAGAAAGTGCTTATTTTCTTAATTGATCTAAGATGCAGGTGGGCTTGTTCATATCCCAGCTCTGCCCCTTGAAGTCATGGAGCCTTGGACAGGACACTGAACTCCAGTTCTTAGCTTCACTTTCTGCATCTGAAAGTGTAGGATTATGAGAATAATAGCAATTCCTTTCTGGGTTATTGTTAGGATTAAATGAGTTAAAAAAAAAATCATTCATATATACCGGCGCACATGTTCAGGTGCATGCACACACGTGCGCGCGTGCACACACACACACACACACACACACACATCCTGCAGTTCAAGTGCTTATCTCATGAAAAGACCAGCCTATGAGCCAAGCTTAGAAGAGTAGCTTAATAAGTTTTAGCCCTATTTTTCATCTTCCTTCATATACTGCTTTGTGTCATTTTTTCCCCATTTTTTAATGCTTATGTACTTTTTGACAGTTCTAACATGTATCCGTTTTCTAGTTTACAAATAGCCCAATACTTCATCTTGACTCGTTGGACCATTAAACTTTTTGTTGCTGATTTTCTAAGTCCTTTTCATTTTGCACGTGGCGTTTAAAAAAATTCAGTAATCAAAACTGTAGTTATTAATGCAAATTTTCAATGTAAGTGTTTGACCATTACTTGTAGAACAAAAAATTTATATTCTAGCTTAGAAATAATATACTTTTGTTTCTTGTTCTTACATAATGAATATGTTTTAAATAAGACCTCTGCTGTTTCATTTGGAGATTATACAAGAGAACTGGTTGTATTAGATTATATATTAATTCCTAAGCATCTGTTAAGACTCTGATGTATACAGTATCAAACTAGATATACTTTGAAGTTATACAAAAGATAATGACACTCTGCTTTTGCAAACCCTGTATAGTAAAATTGAAGACCCCAAAAATATACCTCAATGAGGAAACGTTAGAATTGTAAGAGGCATGTAGAATAATTAGAACTTGTATCACAAAGGGTAAAAAGGACTAACTAGTGAATCAAATTTGATATGCCAGGACTTTTTTCAGTTCTTAGTCAAGGAAGCTACAGAATAGTCTTTCTTACTAGAACAAGATGTTTCTCTTTTATGGCTAGTATTTGCTTTTTATTTCACTTCTTTTTTTTTTTTTTTTTTTTTTTAATGTGTTTTTTTTTT